TGCTCTCCATTCTCCATCCCCTCCACCCCCTCCATCCCCTTATGCACACCCTGCCCCTACTACAGACTGCCCCTAATGAGATTGTAGATTCTGGGTGAAACAGACAGAGTTCATTCCCTCCGGCTTTAAAGGGCAGGCCAGGCCATAAGAAACAGCAAAAAGAAAACCTTTCTCTCCAAATGCTAAATGTAGCTGATAATCCCTGTTCAGCATGTTGCAGTTCACCATTGCTTTCACAGATATCCTCGGGAGGGGCCGCTGCACCAGCCCTAATAAAGTAGGTGCTGTATTACTATGTCTGTTTTATGGATGGGCACAGTGGGCGTCAATGGCTTGTCCGGGGACACACAGCTAGTCAGTGGCAAAGCTGGGACTTGAATGTAGGTCCCTTGGGCTCTGTCATCTTTATAAATAATAGGTCCTTGGCCGACGTGGCTCAGTTGGTTGGGTGTCTTCCCATGCACCAGGAGGTTGCTGGTTCGATTTGAGGTCAAGGGCACATGCCCGGGTTGTGGGCTTGATCCCAGGTAGGGGGAGTGCAGGAGGCAGCTGATCGAAGTTATGCTCTTACACCGATGTTTCTCTCTCTCTCTCCCTCTCTCTCTAAAAAGCAATAAACTATTCTTTAAAAAAATAAAAATAATAGGCCCTGAGAACCTACAGAGGCCTTACTTTTAGGCTTAAAGCCGCCCTGAAGGAAACACATCACAGTGAGTGGCAGAACCAGTTTACACTCAGGTCCGATGGATTCAAAGCCTGCATTCCCTACAGTGCAAAGGCTAAGCACCTTTGAACCCACCTGCCTGTTCATGTGGTGGAAGCCAAACCAACCTAGGCCTGAATTCTGCTCTGCTACTTGCCCAGGGATCTGGCTCCTGGGGTCTCAATCTCCCTTCCAGTAAAATGAAGGTAGGATCCTAAGCTGTCGGGATGATTCCCTGTGACTCACACAGGTAAGACAACAAAGGCAGGTCTGGCACACAGCGCATGCTCATGACTCAACCTCTCTTTGCCTCAGTTTCTTAATCTGTAAAATGATTCGTATTATACTTACTTCTCGGGATTGGTGTTAAGATTAAATGTGCTCATACAAGTAATGTGCTTTTAGAACAACACCTGGTGCACAATAAATGCTTAATTAAGGTTCTCAATTAATTGTCAATTAGCTAGTATCTTATTGCCTTGCTTTCAATTATTTCTGATATGGAGTGGAGGTAAAAATCAAAGACACCAAGCAAATGTTCCTCTCCTTCCTCCACCAGTCCCTGGTCCCCTCCCCTGTTTAAGAAGAGCACTTGGATTTGCCGTCCAAGCCCCCAGACCACGTGGCCTGCTCTAATTTCCCAGGCCCTAATCTGCTCCCAGCTCCTAATGATGCAGCTGGTAATAGGATTGTGGCTTCCCTCTGGGGCAGCCGCTCAGGCCATGGCCCTGTGGCTGGCAACTGGTGCTTAGCAACCCTGACCACCTGCCTGCTGAGGAGCCAAAGCCCCCAGCCAGGACCCTGTGCCCCCAACTGGCATCACGTGCATGGAATAGTGCTGTGCCCAGTGCCAGCAGGCCGGGCTCACCATGGTGCCGGGTGCCATCCTGGCACGAGGGAGGGACGTTTGTAAGCGGAACGGACTGCTCATCCTGTCCGTGCTATCTGTCACCGTGGGCTGCCTCCTTGGCTTCTTCCTGAGGACCCAGCACCTCTCACCACAGGTCAGCCACCCGGGCACCACGGGGTCCCCCTTTAGGAGGTGTGTATGGGCCTGAGGGATCTGAGGGTCACATTCCCTCTCCATGGCTCACTGAAGACAACACAGTGGGTGAGTCATTTTGCCTCTCTGGATCCCAGTTTTCTCATCTGTAACATGAGTGTGAAAAATACATTGCAGGACTAGAGTGACATCCAATAAAATGGCTGAGCAAGTGGTTACAAACTGGCATCACCAGGCAATTGAGAGGCAAGGATGCTTCATTAGTATAACCACGGGCTAAGAGCTGTGGGAGCGGGAAGAATGGGGTCCTGTAAGGGTTCGAAGCAGGTGTCAGAGAACACCTCCTAAAGCAGCTCCTATAAACAGAACCCTAGAAAGGGTATCCTAGGCAGAGGTAATAGCAGGAACGAGGCACAGAGGCATGAAAGATTTGGGAGGGTGTGGAATAAGCTGTGAGGCCTCTAGATCCCATCACCAAGCATGGCCTTGGAGCAACAATGAGAAACTTTGAGCAGGGGCATGGTGGGGTCAGATCTGAGCTTGGAGGATCTGTCTGGTGCTGAATGCAGGGTGGGGCGGTGGTGGGACAGGCAGGGGCCTAGTGAGGAGGCAGCTGCAGGGGTGAGGCACGGCAGTGGGGATGAGTGGGACAGATATGAGAACTGTTTCCAAAAGAGGAACCTTCAGGATATGGTGGCTAACTGGATGTGGGACAGGGAGACAGGGAGACAAGGCAGGCCCCCAGGGTCCTGGCCTATAGAACTGCAAGGGTGAAGATGCCTTGCCTGGGAAAGGGCCCCTCTTAGTACCCATCTCCTACAGGGAAGGAGGGGCACTCACATGGTGCTAAAGACATTATTCTGACCTTTTTAAAATGGTAAGGAAGACTTTATTCAGATGACAAGTGTCAAGACTGTGGCAATAGGGGAGAGAGATCGGGCTCAAATCCGAATACAATAACGACAGCTGGGGGTCTATGGCCAATGAGCATAGTGAGGGGTCCATGGGGAGAAAACTTACAGGATTCCTGTTGAAGGCAGAGCGGGGATTCTCACTAAACTGACTTAGCAGGATTTTGCTACAACTGTGCTAGACAGGCTGAAGGCAGTGCCCAAGGATGAGACCTAATCGAAATGAAGGCTCAGAGTAGGAGCCTGTCTGAAGTTTTGTTAAGGAGCTTTGCCAGCGGGTTCCTGGAAAATTCCCAATTTCATAAAATTCTTATCCCTGTAGTTCACGGATATCTAATGTGAATTCTACAACTAGATCTCAAGCCATCAAATTTTGTCTTCCATTAAAAGGAAGATACCCCCTCCCTGGGAACTGAGTCACTATTCCTGTAGTAACACTGTCCTTTAGGGAGAAGCATGGACTCTGGAGGCAGAGGAACCAGAACTTTCACTCTACTAGTAAGTGGCTCTGAGGCCCTAGGCAAAATCCTATCTCCTTTTTGGGCCTCAGTTTCCTTATTGGTAAAATGGAGTGGGGGCACTACATGTTCACTAGAATTGTTGAGAAGTAAACAAGTATCCATCAGCACCTGGCATATAGTGTTACTTCTCTCCTCTCTCCCCTACCCACCTGTCCAAGTCCTACCTACATCAAGACCATCTCCTACTCCATATCTTATAAGCATTCTCCCATACTTGCCCATACCTGAAACGATACTGTCCTCCCACACTCACCCCATGCTCACCCCTCCACTGTAATGCAGCTGCTGGCTGTCCTGCTTCAGAGCCGTTTGTGTAGGAGTCTATTTCTCCCATCAGACTTCAACTTGCTGAGTATCTCATGGGCTTTCTTGAACCAAAATATGAGCCTAGCTCGGTGCTTATTACAGAAGGAACCATCAACTATTTGATGAATTAAACTGGCAATGGCACAAACCATCTGCTATCTACTTTCTTTAATTTTCCTCAACAACAAAAATATATTGCCTACAGGAAGATTATTTTGTGAAAACAAGTTGGAATGCTTATTATTAAAAGCCAAACTCATCCGGGGCCTCCTTTGCCAAAGTTGCCTTCCCCATCTGTTTGGAAATGCAAATATATTCCAGTCTGAATTAACCTGCCAGATAAACTGAAGGAAAGATGTGGAGTCTTAGAACAATTATTTGGCAGGAATTGGCTTTTTCAGCATCTTACTTTGAAATCCAGGAGTTGTTTGTTTGATCTCTGCCTGTGACTCAGAAATCAAACCCTTATTTTTGTAAGCTTATGAAACAGGCAAAAATCATAAACAATTTTCAAAATGGTAGAAGGTCCTAATTGAGAAAAGAACTTACAAAATCACAAGATTTGTAATTTTTTTTGAAATGAACATCTCACTTAAAAAATATAGATCATTTTGAGAGTTCCAGTTAAACCATGGTGAATTTACAATTGCACCCATTTTCCTTTCCTTTCTGGAATTCTACCAAAATTATAGTAATGGAATTTTATTTTTAATCCTCACCAAAGGATATTTTTATATTGATATTTTAGAGAGAGGAAGGGAGGGGAGACAGAGAGAGAAACATTGATGTGAGAGAGAATTATCAATCAATTGCCTCCAGCATGCCTTGACTGGGGATCAAACCCGTAACCTGGGTACGTGCCCTGAGTGGGAATCAAACTTGCCACCTTTTGGGCACAGGATGATGCTCCAGCCAACTGAGCCACACCAGCCAGGGCTTGTTAGGCCTTTTGAAAGAGATGTTAAAACATTTGGAAGAAATTAGTGAGTGGTGCACAGAAAACAAGACAAATGAAAAATCAGTCAAATCAGTAACTGCAGGAAAGTTAGGTTATACAAGAAAGGTTGTAGCATATTACTTGGCTCAACAGTGTACAGTATTTTATAATCAAAATATCATAAACCTTGACTGTTAATTTAACCAAAAATTGATATAATGGTGAAATGGTAAGAGGAAAAACTGAATAGGAACTAAGTCTTCATCTGTCATCGCAGATGTCAAAAAGGGAATTTAATAAATGTCAAAAAGATATATCTAGAAATAGTATTATAATCATATTATTTAGAAATAACAATACTAAGGAAAACAGTTGAAGGAGCTGAGGATGGGGAGTTGGGGTTGGGATAGAGATGGGTGAGGAAAGGGCTTTCTTTTTATCATTATAGTGCTATTTCAGTTAAAGAATATACAAATGGGTTAAAATTAATTAAAAATACATAGCCATGCTAGTTAAATTTTTTAAAGTAGAATTTCTGGTGCATTGGAAATGGTAGCAGAATGAGACTAGGAGACCTGATTGCCAGTCCTCGCTGTTGCTAACTCACTCTGTGGGGTAAGTCTCCTCCCTCTCCTGGCTCAGCTTCCCATCTACAAAATGAATCAGTTGGACTAAAAAATCTTTTAAAAACCCTTCTCAGCACTAAAATTCTATGATTTGGAGCTTTTCAAATCATCAGACCATTAACCAAGTGTTATGTTTGGCTTTGGGTTAAAAAAAGTAGTTGCAAGTAGAAAACTTTAACTTGGATGGTGTTTGAAAGTCCATGTACCAGCCGTTACCACAACCTTACCCTCTGATGAAAGTGGCCTCAAACTAGGGTTGGCAGAAACAGCAAAACTGAACTAAATTAAAATTTAAAACAGCATACCTGGCTACATTTGAATTTCAGATAAACAACAAAACAATTTCAGTAAACTGTTTAGTAAAGAAGAAATATTTGTTGTTTATCTGAAATTCAAATTTTACTGGGCTTAGGAGTCCCTTCCGATTCAGCTGTCAGAGTCTGGTCATGTGATCTGGGGACAGCTGACTGGCAAGAATTTAGCGCCTAATCCAAGCCCAGTGGATGGGCTGTAACCAGCAGCCCATGAGGAAGCCCAACACAAGAACTCTGTCCAGTAGGGGTTCTTTATACTGAGCGGTGTTTCACCAACCACTCCAATTCTCTTTCAGCATTTTAAATGTGAGAGCTGCTGTGAGGGGGACTGGAGGTGGGGGCAATGAACCCAGCACAGGAGAAACTGACTCAATAATACCATGGTCTGTTTATGAGTCAGTCTCCTCATAAACTAGACTAAGAACTTCAGGGCAAAAACTGTGTCTGATTCTTTTTGGGTACCCAGTGTGATGCCTGGCATAGTCGGTGTCAAATGAATGAGTGAACAGTATGCAGCCCTGCCTTCATGCCTCTTACCATCTGCTACGTGAGACAGATTTATACCACTAGGCAGTGAATGGGGCAGAGGCAGGGGAGGAATGCTATTTACTGTGATTACTGAACATTTACTCTCATCCAGGCACCCTGCCCAATGCTTCATGTGCATCCTCCCATTTAAGCCTCCCAATGACCCTGTGAAGTAGTTATTACCCTAAGGCCACACAGCTAGTTATGAGGGGCTGGGAGACAATATGAGGACCCAAGTCTGTTTGGTTCCTAAAGCTTGTGCTTTCTCCATGGACTCTGTTGTCCCCATGCTAGACAGGAGAGTGTGCATGAAACAGTGCTTTGAGGACTATAAAGAACTGAGCAACTGTGAAGTCTGCACCACCTGCTATAACCTCAGCTTTTGATGTGTTTTCAGGAAATTAGTTACTTCCAGTTTCCTGGAGAGCTCTTGATGAGGATGTTGAAGATGCTGATCCTACCGCTGGTGGTCTCCAGGTGAGGGAGGTCTGGGGCAGGGAGGGGAGAGGATTCTGAACAGGTTCTGTCAGTTCCCTGCTCCTGCTGTGGGTGGCTGGACTTCACCTGAGGGCCTGGGAGCCGTGTGACTGTGGGGCCTTTATGGGCAGGAGGCTGTGGCAACGGCTGCTGGAACCTGAGTCGTTCACCAGACCCAAGTGCATTCTCTTGGCTGGAAATGGAATGTGGTATTAACTTGAGAAAAGCCAGTGTGTGCTCATACATTTCGTTTGTTTATTATACAGTTTGGGCTGGTGCAGAGCAACCGTGTCATTGAAAAAAGGCAGTGCTTTAAAATTTTCCTACTAAGGGAGAGTTAGATCTTCCTAGGGGAAAAATTACACATTTCTGAGCCGCAATCCCTGACCCTGAACCCTGCTTCTTTTACCTTCAAATGGTCTATAATCCATCCACTCATTGCCCACAGTTTCCTGCGCTCCTGCTCCAGCCATCCCAGGGCTGGGCATCCTGGTCCTCAAGGAGCAACCACTCTGGTGTCAGGATTATCACTCAGGGCTGAGCAAAATCACCAAAGCTGCTTTGAAAATTCAGATGTTAGGCCTCATGCCGGACTTACTGAACGACTGCCAAGGGGCCCAAGCAGGTGTTTGTTTTAAAATTTCCACAAGTGTTCTAATGGTTTAGAATAAAACAAAACCCTGATGTGGGGATCAGGTCTTCTGCCTGGAGCTAGAGAGCCTGGCGTGAAGGCTGGGGCTCTTCAGTCCCCAGGGGCTCCAAGCTGTAACCCCAGGAGACAAGGGTTTTCTGCAGTGTAATTTCTCCAAGGTAGTGTGAGGACATATATTTGCTTCTAGTTCCAATAACCTACAAGTCTGGGCCCCAAATCCTGACATTCGTGACTCTAAATGCTCTACCCTCTTTTCCAGGAGAACCTGCCACCCCTTCCCTGTGCCAAGGCCCTAGAAGCAGGCTGGTCACCTCATTAGTCCCTAAGCATGCTATAAAATTTTCTACCTCCTCACTTTTGCCCATGCTGTTCCCCCTTCTACGAATGCCCTCTTCTCTTAATTAGTTAAGTCCCACTCAATGTTCAAGATCTAGCTCAAGTTTGTCCGTGAAATCCTCCCAGATCTTCATTTATTGATAAATATCAATGATGACCTGTCTCCAGGTCGATGCTGCTTGTAACCCTGGGTGTACTCAGTATTGTTAGTTAAATGAATTTGCAATCTCAGTTGGCATATCACATTATGGGGTACTGACACCTGTTTTTGTAGAGTAGTGACATAGAAATAAATCAGTATTCCTACCTGGACTAGCCACTCATGGCTCTAAAAAAGAAGTGGCCCCGACAAGGGGTAGGACCAGTCACCACGACCCCTCCATGAGCATCACTGTTTTTATCTGAGACACTGGAGGGTTCAGGTTCATTTTCCCTTTTGTCATTTACACTAACCTCTACCTGGTGGTTAGTGTAACAGATTTTTGCCGGAGACAGAAACCTAATAGTTAAGCAAAGAGAGATGAAGAGATGTAAATAGGTATGGGCAGTAATGGTGGAGGCTGATGCCAGGGATGGAAAGACCCTGTGCCTGCCTTGGAGGGTCTCGTCATCCAGCAGGGAGACAGTCACAGAGACAGTTTGTTCCAGAGAAAGAAGGCCCAGGGGAAGGGAGGAGGGGCCAGCTGGCCTCAGCTGGAGCCCAATTCAGTCATTCCTCCCACAATCCGGCACATCCCAGCTTTTGGGCCTCTTTTCTCTACAATCTACTGCAAACCAGCACCTGGCCTGAGCCCCGCCTCAGACAGGCACGGAGCAGCCCGGCTGAGAGTAGCCTACGCCCCGCCAGCTGTGTCCTCATAAGTCACAATGAGGGCGGTGAGCAGACGGCACAGGTGGGTGTGGCCGAGAATCTGCCAGAGGCTCCAGGGGAGGAACAGGAGTTCGGGTTCACTCACTAGATGTATAAACTTAACTCCGGCTCTTAGCATCTGACCGCAGTGACTGGATCTGTAAAATGGGAAGAGCAGCCCCCTCCCTCGCTGGTTTTTCTGAGAATGAAATAGGATAATGTACTCAAAACACCCAGCATGGCTCCTGATTTGTTATGGATGTCACGCGCTTTCCTAATTTATTAAAGCGTCGCCGGGCTTCTCCAAGGCCCAGATGAGATACTGCAGGAAGCCTTCTCCCTCTGCTTCTGCTCTCAGCAGCCAGTGCCTTTAGGGGACCTCCTCCTCCTTTTTTGTGCTTTTATTTAGCACCGCAGCTTGTCACTTCCTCTGAAAAGTCCACCGTGACTCTGCCACTATTACCTTTTTTCCTGTTTGTTTTTACCATTCTTAGCAGCGAACACACGAGGCCAAGGTATGGCCCTCGGCTGACTGATTCTGAAGCTCTACCTTGTCTGAGCCCCTGAGCTGGTCAGCCCTGTCCTCTGATGCTGACAAGAGGAGACCAAATGAACCAAATGCCAATTTATTCATTCACAGGAATAAATAAATGGCTAAGAGGCCAGATGCACACAGCCTCCGGCCAGAGCATTTCTCCCTGTGAGATCACCACTCAGGGAACCCACTGCTTAAATTTGTTTGCTGGCAGGAAAACTTATTTAATTGTACAACCAATGTGACTCCAGGTTTGCCATTTTCAGTTAATTTCTGAGGGTCCCACCTGGTAGAGTACCACCATATGTGCATTTAACTTAAGTGACTTCAAGTAGATATGCTGTGAAAAAAGAGAAAATTAATTTAAAGGAGTCAGGAGCTCTTCCATTCAGAGCTATGCCCCCCAGTGAGCATACCATGGGAGGTGAGTCTGCTCTGCCCCAAGCCAGCGCCAGTTCCTACATACCTCTCAAAGTGTATTTCCCTGCAGATCATTGTGATTCTAGGCTGCAAAAGAGGGCTGTTCGGTTTTTTGTGTGTTTTTTTTTTCACATAATGGCCTCTAATTGTATGCTAACTGCTTCTGCTGGTGTTCACCTAAAGTAACACCAACCCATTCTAAAACTGGGAGGAAAGTGGCTTGAATGACTTATATGAAACTACACTTCCTAAACGTTACGGGCAACTTAAGGGATCTTCATGGGGAAATTTAATTATACTTGGTTTTTGCCTGATGTACTGACTTGAGAACTGAACATGCTGAATATGATCCTACTTCTCTGTACAAGCAGGAATCCCAGTGTCTTCCTCTTAAGCCTGCACTCCACAGGCCAAGGTCAGTGAAAGCTTCAAGCCAAGTGAATAGAATGGGAACACCTTGCCACTAACCCTGTAGCTCAGGCTCCTTCCACATGGTGTCGCTGCTGAACACAGGCCCTGCATNCTTATTTCATTCAGTGAAAGCTTCAAGCCAAGTGAATAGAATGGGAACACCTTGCCACTAACCCTGTAGCTCAGGCTCCTTCCACATGGTGTCGCTGCTGAACACAGGCCCTGCATGGTCTGGTTCAAGCCTGCACACTATCCCCTTTAGGTGCATATTCCTGCTCAAGCCACAGGGGTGCCCTGTCCTGGCTCCTAGATCCCACCAAAGTTCTCAGTCACTGTTCACCAAAGCATCCTTAGTCATGCCCTGAGCTTAGTTCCCTGGAGTTGAACCCTGAGTCCCTTCTTCCTCCTGGTAGGTTAGCCCTAAGGGCTGTTAGTGTCAACAGACCTTGGTCTTCAGCACCCTAAGTATACCTGGACCCTAACTTCAAATCATAGGGTGCAAGGGTGGGGTTCTTAGTCTCTTTACTCTCATAAGGCCCCTGAACCTCTCTTGCAAATTGGTGCACCTTTCCATAACTCTGCAGATCTTAAGGTCTCCAGGAGGGGCACTTCCATCAAACCACTAAGGTCTCTCTGTTTCCCTGGATGATGTGCGCCTTCTTACCTTACATTTGCCATTTGTAAAATTCTTCTAAAACAAAATCAACTGCAAGGAGACTTAATTTCTCTACCTATAAACATAGAAGCCTCAGACAAATTTAGAAAATTCTGCCTTTCATTACATTGGCATAGGAACTAATAGTCTGATGGTTGGACCTGCAATAGCATTGTCATGTCCTTGCACAAGGGTCCCTCTCCCATAGGTGGTGCTTGGATGGGTGCTGAATGGTTTGCCACTCTCAGCTGTCTTCTCTGGGCTCCACTGCTGACTGGTCCCAGGCTGATTATACCTTATTTCATTAGAAAAGTCAGGTCTTTGGGCTGGGAGCCTCCTTTCCCATCTTCTCCCAGTAATACCACATGTCAGCACTCTGATCCCTTTTGCTTTTAATTTATAGTTTAACCCAAAGAGTACTGGCAACTTTCTGTTCCTTTAAGTTCTTGGAGGATACTTACTGTTCCTTCTGCAAAAATAAGCCTATCTGTTTCTTTGTCGTTTTCACTTTAACATGATATCATAAGAATGGTTATGCTGCACCCTCATCTTCATAATTCTGTGGTACTTTCACTCAAGGCTGGAGCAGAATTTTCAAAGTCCTTTTGTCGTCACTAGACACCTAGGATGCTGCTGGATGTGCTGTTAGGGCATCACTATGCCCCAGAACTCTAGATCTACCTCAAGTTCTGTTATTTATCACACCCTTAACCTCGGCCATAAAACAGACACAAAACCATCTGCAAATTTACAAACCAGTTCCCAGCAGGTGCTCTTGTGTATGGTGTGTGTGACCTGTTATAGCCCCACTGAGGCTGGAGTTTGCTTCTAACCCTGGGAAGTCAACTGAGCCTTGTTTTCACACATCCCCAGACCAGAGTGACACAGGGAACCAGGGGTGGGTCAAAGCAGCATCTGGATCCAGTGAGGGCCTCCAATTCTCTGCTTGCTTTTTGCCAAACCCTCCTCTCCCCTCATTCTTTACTTTCTTAAACCAGGCATCATTCAAGGAAAACTGGATCCATGTGTTTGTGATTCACTGAGGCTGATCATGGCAGAATGTTTTGTAAGCTCCATCTCTTAACAAAGAGATCCAAGTGCGTGTGTGGGTTTGTGTGTAAAAGCATGGTGTGTCTTTACA